TTGAATTGCTCTGAAATTGCTTCTCAATTCCATCAACACATCTGTTTCTCACATCACCTTTAGCAAAATCCAGTTCTTAAGTTAATGGCAGCTGGGAAGACAAGAGGCACAGCCCTTCCTGCGTGTCTGCAGCCACTGTGTGCCTCCGTGATCCCTGCTCCAGCAGGGTCATCCCAGAGCACATGGCATGGGATTGTGTCCAGAGGGGTCTGGATTATCCCCAGGGAGGGACACTCTGCACCAGCTCTGGGCAATCTGTTCCAGTGAGCCAGCACTGCACAGGAAGAAAGTTCTTCCTCATGTTCAGGTGGAACTTTCTGTGCATCATTTTGTGCCCATTGCCTCTTGTCCTATTGCTTGGCACCACTGGGAAGAGCCTGGTTCCATCCTCTTGGCACCCCTCTTTAAATGTTTATGCACAATAATGAGGTTCCCTCTCAGGGGTTTCTTCTTGAGGCTGAACAGGCCCAACTTCCTCAACCTTTCCATGGAAGAGAGATGCTCCACTTGATGCCTTGTTGGGCTACCTAAAAACAGAGGCCAGACAAAATTAAGGGAATAAAAAGTAGTTCTATTTATTGAAGGGCCCTCAGGTACATTTAGGGCAGATGAAGCCCCCCAGGGCTTTGTCCATTTTTGGGTGTAGCCCCTGGGGGGCTTTGTCTGCCCAAAATGTACCTAAATGTACCATGGCTCACAGGTTTGTACACTTTCATAAGTTTGGGCCATTTGCATATTGGGGGTTAATCTTCAATTACAGCTTCAGGTAATGAAGTCATTTACTCAAAGTTTGCTCCTCCCAACTCACTTTTGTTTCCATTTCTGGGGCCTGAGGCAGTGAGGTGTCCTTGATTGCCAGGCCTGGAGAGGAATTGTTGTGTCTGCTCACAATGGGAAAGCAGCAGCTCACACTGTGTATGGAGTTTAGAGTTACACACTAAAAAACTGCAGGATTACAAATATATGAAAATATATTAAATATATTTAAATAAAATAAATAACAATAAAATTATAAATACAAAAAAAGAATAATAAACAAAATAAAAATTAAAATAAAATATAAAACATATAGAATATATATATAATAAAATATATGGAAAATATACAAGCTGAAATCCTAAGGCATCACAGTGCCCAGATTATTAGCACATGCTACAGTGTGTGGTGCTGGGCTCTGAGCACTGGCCAGGTTCAGCTGGAGCAGAGCATTTGTGCAGCCTGCAAGCACACTGCCCATTCCACATGCATTATACACGTGCTGTGCTTGGCAGTTCTGTGTTATGTTTTGCTGCATGGATACATTATATGTTGCAGATTTTAGCAGAACAAAACCCAACGCAACCTAAAAATCCATGCCCTTCATTTTAGCTCCCGGTGTGTAAGACAATAGCCCTGCTAGGAGACCTGTCTGTGCTCAGGAGGGAAAGCTGTGCCCTGCATCCTGAGCAGGACCTCCACAGGAGCCCCTTCAGCTGGTGACACACCTCTCATGTGACAGCACAACACAAACTGATCACACTGCAGGTAAAATCTGCCAAGGAACTTTGATCATGGGTGGAGGTGAATTACCCATAGAAATAGCAGGAACTGAAAGCCAAGGCAGTGTGCAGAAAGATGTTTCCAAGTCTATGATTTACCTTTCTGCTCAGGACTGTTATGCACATGGCTAAGACAATACAACCTTCTGGAAAAACAGAAATATGTTCTTTTCCATCACTCTTTCATCAGGGAAGCTTCATAGGCTATGTACAAACTATTGCAACCTGGCTTACTTTCCCAAACAGTTAATCAAGCTTGCCTTATTTCAGGACCTATCTTCTCTGCTATTCTCACCTAATGCCTAACTACTGCTTTCAAGTTGCCCATAACCTTCATATTCAAGCTTTGAAACGCTAATAAATAATAACCACATAACCCTTTTGGAGTCCTAGTTCTTTGAATTCCTTATTCAGATGTTCTCCAGCAACAGCTCTCCTGATCTTTCTGTTGCAAGCAGGCATCTTTGGTTGAATAATAGTTTTCTTGATTTTACTAATTTCATTCCATTACCTTGTAAGCAATGCTGATTCTGGAAAAAAAAAATTAGCCTGATTGAGCATGTGTTAGTTGTAGTAATATTAATAGCATTAATTATAATACTTAATAATGCTGGAATGTATTTTGTTTGAAATGCTTTTTCTTAATGCAAATGTATATTCTGCTTGATTTAGAGGCTAATTATATTTTATGAATCAAAGTGCGAAATTTGAAATTCAAATTTCAGCTGAAGACCCTCAAATGACTGTGAGAATTCAAATGCTTATGTTGGTGGCAATCAAAATTTAGCATGCATTGAAGAGATGTATTATGTCAGCTGCATTATGACAAAGAATTAGAAATCACATATGGCTCAATTTTTCCAAATCCATTTTCCCAAATAGCAATTTCATAGGTGTTTAGAAATTTAATTTGCCAATTCAATTTTAACTGGTATGTTGTAACTATGATGGGGAAGCTGAACTTCAGCCTTGGTTGCTTTCATTCAGGACAATAATGGGAGTAAAAAGCCAGGGTTTGGTAAGTCTTTTAACATTCCAAACATTTTTTCAAAATTATTAGTGAGGGATGAATCTTACATCATGCTTTGGAAGTTACCAGACTGACAGTGCAATTATGAACATTTGAACAAAAGCCTTCACTTTCACATTTTCCTGGCAAATAACTTGAAAAGAAATCCCCAGTTGCAATAGTATTCACCTAAATATTCTCGTTCTTTTGCTCAGGGTATTAATACTCAGGCCTTCAGCTCTGCAGCACAGCTAATTAGAAACTCACTGATCAAAGTTTCCTCAGCAAATGAGGAGCCCAACATGTTTAATTCAAAAGATCTCAGAATGATAAGCCTGAGAGATGTTTGCATGTGTTTCCAGCATATGCCTGGGTTGCTGGCAGACTGAAGATCTGATCTTTCCTGCATCTGTGCCCCTGTCCTGCTCCCTCAGAGGGGATTTCTGTGGCACTCCTGTGGCTGGGTTCAGAGCCCTGCCTGACTTCCCAGGGTGGGTACAGGACAGGACATGGTCCCAGACAGCTCCAAAACAAAGTCTTGATGCTCTGCACCATGGAGAGAATTCTTCCAGGAAACACCTGAGGGTTGCCTGAGGAAGTTTGAAATGGTTTTAATCCTAATCTGAAAATGAAAGTTTTATATGAACCCAGACAGCCAGTGCTTTGAACACGTGCCAAAAAGGCAGCTGTCCCCTTGTGACTGTTCACCCAGGGCAGGATCTGCTGAATTCCCAAATCCTTGAGAGGAGTATTTTTCATTCCAGAAGAAAACTGCTCCCTCCCCCGGTGTAAAGGTTGACTTGCCTTCCACCACTAATCTCATACCTCTGTTTCTGGAAATACTTTTTCAGCAATGAAAGGTGACAGTTTTAGCCTCTGAGAGAGGACTCCTACACAAATAGAATTTGACCTACACAAATCTCGTTTACTGGTGTTTTCTGAAACCTGTTCTGTTCACAGATAGATGATCTCTTTTTATCCCCCCTGTTCTGCCTACACCACTTTTCTGGTCCTTCAGAGATACATGAAAGCAAAGGCCACACTACAGCCTTGAGGTACAGGGCCACAGGCTTTCTGTGTAATTTCTAGTTAGAACTGCAGTTGTGCTCAAGAAGAGATAATAAATGGGTAGGAGGAATTTGAGGAGCTTGTTGACAGATTGAGTCAAATTGCATCTATGATAAATATTATTTCTGTATTATCTAGGCTTAAAGAGATTGATTGAAGCAAACAAATTAATGATTTTCTTTTCTTTTTACTTACAGTTGTTATAATAGTGGTATTCCCTCCTAGGCTGCTAGAATGAGCCTGGAAAAAGTTCTAATAGGAAATCCCATCAATCAGGGGAACTATTATATCTCCATAAGAGGTTGTTCTCATTTTCCAGAGTAACCATCTTGAAATAAATGGGCAGGAGATCTTTCTCCCTTTTAATGCCTTTATAAAGAAGAATCAGCTCAGGTGGGGAGGAATCGATGGGTCGCGCCCACGCCGCCGCTGCTCCCAGGCGTGGCACGGAGGAGGAGGGTGATGCAGCTTTGTCCGCTGGTCTGCAGGCAGAGCTGGGGATTCCGTCCTCACGGGAGAGTTGCAGATTCCTGGCTTGTTTGTCTAACACCCCGGGTCGTCTCTTTAATCAACATCTTTTCAGGTTAGGGTGAGAAGCAAAAAGGATCCAAGCAGGTACGGGACTACGCTCCCATCCTTAGACGTCACTTAGGTCACTTGTTGGCTCGTAATTTTAGGGGTTTTTCCTGTAAAAACTGTAAAAATTCGGGGCGCAATGCATTTCTCATCTGCATACTGGCTCTGATGTCACTGCTATTCTCTTCGTACCTGGAGGGTCTGTCCTGGTGTCCCTCCCTGGCAAGCGGCCAGCATCAGGGGGACAATGGTTAATCACCAGCCATTAACAGGTAATTGAAGAACTTTTCTTTAGCAGTGAAACTAACTTACAACAACTGGTCTGACTTGTTTTTAACTCTGCAACCTAAAAAAATTAGATAACTTTCTATTCATAACAATCTCGTACATTTTGCGTTGGAAAGGAAACACAATTGCGGTGACGGAGCTCATTAGCCGGCGGCACCGAGCAGTGCCCGTGGGTGCCGGTGCCAGGGCGGGCAGCACCGACCCCAGCGCGGCCGGGCGCGGCTGCCTTAGGAACAGGTCACAGAGCAGCCGGCCTCTGCTGCCTGCGGGACTGCCTGGACAAAGCGCCTGCCTCTCTGCTGCGGCTCCGTGCCGTCAGATCAGAAACTGTGGAAGAAAAAAGCCCGTGAAAAGAACCGCTTAGTGCAGTGCGGCCGCCTCTGTGGGGGCCCGGGCAGGAGGCGATGGGTTGGAAGCGCCGGCAAAGCGCGTGTGGCGGCGGGGAAGGCACCGGCGGAACGGGGTCAGTGTCCGGGGCTGGGCCGGGCAAAGGCGTGTGGCGGCGGGGAAGGCACCGGCGGACCGGGGTCAGTGTCCGGGCCTGGGCCGGGCAAAGGCGCGGCTGACGTCAGGACGGGGCTGGCGCTGCCCGCGGGCGGAGCGGGGCCGGCGGCGGCCGCGGGGAGAGGCAGGTACGGCCGGCGGCTGGGCTGGGGCAGGGCCGGCGGGGACGGGAGCCAAGGGGGCCCGGCTCCAGGGGCGGCCCGACCCGCCAAGGTCAGCGGGACGCGAACCCGGCCGGGAGCGGTGCCGGGACCCGGCTGTCGGCGGCGGGGAGGGCGAGACGCGGCTCTCGGGGCAGCCCAGGCCAGGCCAGCCCGGGCGCTGCTGGGCGGAGCCGCCGCCGTGCCCCGCCAGGTAGAGGCGCGGGGGGCCGGGGCTGCCTGGGGCTGTCCCGGGGGGAGCGAGCACCGCCGGGCAGGGCTGGGACGGAGCCGGCCCGGAGAGCACGGAGAGCTCCCGGGAAAGGGCCTGCGCGGCTGGGCCGCAGCCAGGCGGCTCCAGAAATAGCGAACTTGCGCCGCTGGGAGCGGGGGGGCCGGGTGGGGTTACGTCTGAGCACTGTACTGCCCGCACTGCACCCGAGCACGGAGAGGGAAGTAACCGTGGGAGTCTGCGGGCACCGCCGGCTCGGCTGCTCTGGTGTCCCAGCCCTCTCCATCGGCACGGGTTGCAGCATCGGGCCCACTGCTGGCTCAACTGCTGATTACAAGCTGCAGGGAGAAACACTTGTTTTATTTTAAAGTGTGTGTTATCAAGAAGGGGAGTGGAACAGGCTGTTGCATATTCAACATTGTATTCCATGCAGAAAACTGCTGTTCCAGGGAGCAGAAAGGAATCATCCCACTCCTTTGCTGTATCCGTTCCTAACTTGAGTTCAGTTTAGAGTGCTACTCCTCTTAGAGTTCAGTCACCAAAACACTTTTATTCATATTGGTTATAAATTAATTTATCTTTGGTTAAGTCCCATTTTTCGTGTTGGTAGCACTGGGCTGGTTTAACAAGCAAATACTACTCAGATGCAGCTGATCTTGCTAGGCTATCTTCTAGCTCTGCAAATATACTTTTAAACATCATGTAGGAGGAGTGTGAATACTGTACAGGACTTCAAATGAGCCCTTGTGCTTAAAAAGGACAAGGAAGAATATCTGATTGTTTTTGCACCTCCTACTTTAAGTGCTGACAGATTTTTCTGTGTGATTCCTTGCTCTCTCTCCAGAGCTGAAGTTTTGGGCACTCTGAACTGGGAAAGGGTATTTATTTGCTGCCTCTGAGGTTACATGCAAGGTGCTGTACAGCTGCTGAAGCCCCGTTTGCTCTTGCAGCTTTAGACAGCTCTGAGAAATTCTGAATGTAATGTATTCTTCATGAGCTGTTCTGTAATCACAGGCAAAACTCAGTTTGTCAAGAGGGAGGTTTTCTTTGGTTCTTCCCCTTTGTGTGTCTAAGTTAAATCTAATGCTATTGTGTAACAGAGTTGGTTTAAAGGTAGCAACAACATTCCATGGCCTAGTGTAACACTTGCAGCAGAACTGAAGTTCATGCAAATTGTTTTTTGGCTTGTAGTCTAGGAAACAGTCTCCAGAAATAGTGATTTCACCTAATTGGGCAAACTGGGAGACGTGGAAACACCGTTAGAGACACTCATTCCTGTGAAAATGAAGAGCAAGCACTGTTTGCTTGTAAAGGATAATCAAGGAGACAGAAACCTAGGTTGGGGTGGTGGCAGAATGAGCCTCAGGTCCTTTGTACTGCTTTGCTACTTTGGAAGAATTACTTGGCCTCTATTTCTGGAGCTCTCTCTCTGTTTAGGGGTGACAAGAGCATGCTCAGACCCCAGAGCAGGACCAAGTGACCACAATTAAAACAGAACAGAAGTCTGACACTCCCTTTCAGAAGTGGGCTCTCAGTAGAATCTTTTTTTTCCCAGCAAGCTGGTACAAAGTCAAGAATAAGAGGTTTATCCTGGAGTTCAAACTTTACCTGAAGGTGGTTCTTACCATCATATCCAAGCCTGTGCAGGATGTGACATTGCTTAAATATGAAATCCTGATGGTTATAATCTTGTGTGCTACAGTATTTGCTCAGTAGTCTAAGAGGACACAGCTATAAGTAATAATCCATTAGACCAGGAAACAGATGGATGCTTAGTAATTTCATATTTTACTAGAAGATTACAAAACTCTTCTTTTTCTCCCTTCTCCTCAGCTTTAAACACATTCTGCTGAGGTTTGTCTGGGAGCAGTTCCTCTATCAAATCTACTATGCCACCTTTCACCCCGCCATGCCCCCCCCCTTATCCTGTCACAAGTAAAATGTTATTTGTTAGGTTTCACTATCATTTCTGTCTCTCATTTTGTCTCTCATATCTGTCTCTCTTACAGGCCACACAAATAATTTCTAAAAAGCAGCCTTCTCAGGGGAGGCTTAAAATGCTTGTTCTTCCTTTTCTAGTTCAATTGCATCTGGATAGCTGAGTTTTTCTAATCTCTTTTAAAACAATAATCAGAACACCATTACGCTGTAAAATAAAACCTCATTTTCCAATATATCCCATGTTTGATGTCTTTTTTCAACATGCTCATAAACCAGAATGCAGTGGCTGAGTATTTAATGTCACGTGTGATGACTTGAATTTAACACAGAGTCCTTGCCATGTTATTTCAAGCTTCATTTAAAAGCTGAGGAGAACTGAGAATCTTACTTTATGGGCTCATCTTTTACTTACTTTAATTCTTAGAGTGAGCTAGTGATGATTTGAAAGAAACATAAGTCAAAAAAACAGCTTTCTCCTTCCTGTTTAAACTGTTTCAGCTTTTGTTTTGACTGGACTTTGAGCCAGTGAATGAAAAACACAGAAGAGGAAGTACAGGGGAAAAAAAAAAGGTAGGTAGAAGTGCTTGGTAACTTGAGACTGCAGAATACAGGATGTACACGTATGCAGAGAGAAGGGCTTTGAGAGGAACTGCTGGTGAGTCAGGAAGCAGTCATTGCAGTCTGGCTCTTCCCCATTTTCCAAGGGCAGCAGCTGTAGGGTTTTGTTTGCCAGTCAAACATCAAGGTGGTCTCTGACACTCACGCTGGATTGCAGCAGTTGCTCTTGTTACATCCTGCACCACCAGTTGTGCTTACTGAGTATCTTCAGCTGGGATCTGCTGCGTCTCTGCAATGTGAGCTGGGGGCACACAGCTCTAATAGATGGTACTGAGATGCCTCTTTCTAATGTATTATTGTGAAATACTGACAACTGCTTTTCTCCCCCCTCCCCCTTCCTCTTCTGCTCACTAGATTAAGCAACAATGGCATTTGTGAAGAGCGGATGGCTGCTCCGGCAAAGTAAGTCATGGGTCTTTCTCTTCCTTCTCTCCCTGTTCACTGGGATTTCTTCAGAAAACATCAGAGCAGCTGATGTTGGAGTAATTCCCAGGTTTTCTTAAAACAAGTAGTTCTGTGGGTTGTTTTTGTTGGGTTTTTTCCTTTTTACTTTAAGGATACGTCACACAATGACGTGTCATGACAGCATTCCCATGTGACCTTTGGGTGCTCCCAGGATATATTCCTGTTTGTATCCTGGGAAACAGGATATAAACATATCTGAGGTGTGTGACTGGTATCCAGCTTCAGATGCTGCTCTGTAATTAGTGCTGTGTAAGTGGGGACTTGAAAACTTTACCTGACACCTCAACTTTGTGTCTTTCAATTAATCATGCCCTCTGCATGTTCCTGCAGCAAGTTAGAACTCAAGCATCAGGTCATGTACTTTAAATAAAACCAGTTTTGCTTTGAATTCATGAAATATGGCACCCAATTCCCAAGTGGGGATGTTGTAATACAGGATTTTGCTTGGCACTTTTGGAATATTGTTTGGGGCAACTGTGAAGGACATCTTGGTTTAGTAACTTTAGGACAGAAATATTTCCTGATATGTGCCCTCAAGAGTGACTGTCTGATTTTTAAGGTACTATTTTACGGCGTTGGAAGAAGAACTGGTTTGATCTGTGGTCTGATGGCCGCTTAATATTCTATGATGATCAAAGTCGCCGTGATCTAGAGGATAAAATCCACATGCGAATCCACTGCATCAACCTCAGAGTGGGGAATGAATGTCGAGGTACTAATGAAACCTTCAGGATTTGTGTGTGTATCCAGAGATTCTTTACAACTTCAGTGCCTGTCCAGCACACCACATACAGCACTGCTGCAGATGTAAACGTGTCCAAAATGTGTGCAACTTCACTGGTCTTGAATCCCTCACCTTCCAAAAAAACTCAACCCCACCAACTCCTAAATTGCTTTAGAGATACTCAGGGTGTGGGATCACCATGTGATAGGTTAGGTTAGGGTTTGATGCTTCCTGTTAAAACTCAGTGAGGACTGTGTACCATGCATGCAGGAGGATGGGGTGTTCCCAGCAGGACTGTGTGTCTGGTACAGAGCTTTCCTGGCTAACCACAGTGCTGGCTGGATGGAGAGGCACGGCTAGAAATGGGAAACCTCAGCAGATGGTTTTCCTAAGCTCCTTCTGGCATTTGTTAGTGATCCACTTGGTGCTGACACAAGGGAAGGACACAAGTGCTGGAGAGTACCTGCTGCTGCGAATGGATTGGTTCTGCTGTGAGACACTTGCATTTCACAGGAAAGGTGTTCAGAGCTGCTTACTTTCAGGCCACTCTGAAGAGTAAGAACAGATTATTTCCTTCTGGGGCTCCTTCTGATGCTGTGAAAGGCATCTATCTCTGGCCCTAGTTTATTTTTTCCAGACTTGCTTAATCTGAGTCCCTTGTACATGTGCTCATGTAATGCTGTTTATATTCGTAACTCATCTCTGTTTTTCTCACTCAGATTTCCAGCCTCCAGAGGGGAAGCAGAGAGACTGTTTACTGCAGATTGTTTGCCGTGATGGGAAGACAGTCAACCTCTGTGCAGAGAGTGCAGATGACTGCCTGTAAGACAGCCAGAGAATAATGGTTTTGATGCATCTCCCTTTTTTATCCCTCTTTATCTTCCTCCCTAGTTATTTTCCTCCCTTCTAACTTTCAGAGAAATGTTTTAAGAAAATTTTCAAGCAGATAAAAGCAGGTTTTCAGTGACAAAAACCCCAATATGTCTCCTAGAAGTTGTCTAGCTCATGCAAACTAACTTCAAGTTAACTCACTGAAACACTGAAGGGTGAGGAGGAGTAGAAGAATCTGATTAATATGATTAATGCAAGACTTGTTGAACAGATTTTTTTAAGCTTTTGCCATTCTTCAAGAGCACATGATGTGGCATTAGCCCAAGGACATCCCAGTAGCAATAGGAGGAATATTCCATGATTGTGAACTCTCAGCTGAACTGGGCTGTGTAGAATTAGCTGTGTTTGCCAAGAAGTGTTTTCCTGGAGCATGCTCCCAGCCCTGTGGCAGAGGAGGAGCTGGGTGAGGTGTTCCTGCCCCCTGGGAGCAGCAGCAGCAGCAAGGCCCCTGCTCTAATCAGCACAGATGAGCTGTTCTGCTGGGGTCCATCTCTTCCCATTACCTCATCCTAAGCATGATTGCATATTTCCCACCTGTTGTGCTTGCAACAAGGACCTCCAAAACTGCATCCATTCCTCCTCTTGCTCCTCCTCATTCTTTCTCAGCTCTGCAAAGGAAGTAATTATTTCTTAGTCTTGGTGTAACACTTTTGTGCATTCATTTAAGTTCTCATTAGGCTTTGACACATGCAGTACCTCAAACTCTGCTCCTGCAGTACCTCTAGTTGCTAACCTTGTTTGTTTCATTGACCTGAAAGAAAAAGGTGGCATTAATTTTTATCAGTGTTCCACTAACCAATGGGTTTTTTTTTTGCAGGGCATGGAAAATTGCTCTCCAGGATGCCAGAACAAACACAGTGAGTGTCCTACCTAGACTTCATAGTGATAGAGAAGCAGCACATCAGTGTTCTGTGGGTCCAGCAGTTTAGTTCTGAAATCATGTTCCATCCTTCTCTGCTAGAGAAAAACAGGGTCATGAGCATGATAGTAAAGCTTTGTGGGTGGAGAAGAATGATTCTCTGGATCACAAACACATCCTTGCAGCCAAGTCCAGGGAAATGCTGTGTAGAAAAGAATGATTTAAAGGAATGATTTCTCTGGGTGGAAGTGAATGTTTGGAAAGCTGGTCTGTGGGCACTGAGGCTGTGGGCAATAAGCAAATCTTCTGCAACCAGCAAAAATGAACTTTTCACTCCTAGTGTTTGTTGCCTCCCAGGTGGGTGCAGTGCTAAAGGAAGCTTACTACACAGCAGCTGTTTGTTAATGTACATCCATCCCACTGTGGGATGCTTCTTGGCACAGACATGGGGAAGAGTGAGATGCTTGGAGGGGAGTGCAGGCATGCTAGGAGGAGTGTATTACCTCTGCATGTTCTGCAAGTTGTTTTTCCTTTAGACTGCCTTCCAGAGTACTCTGCAGCACTAGCTTTCCTTGGATGACTAGGCTGAGCCAACCCGAGGTGTTTCTGTTCCAGGGGAAATGCTGTGTTTTGTAGACGCTATCTCAGTTTCTGATGGGTCACATTAACATTGCCACTGTACTGGGGCATCTGTCAGATGGTATAACTTAGATTTGTAGATACCCAAAGCAAACACTTGTCATGGCACAACTACCCCAGACATGACTGCCTCTGACTGCAGCCAGGCTGCACTGCCTGTGGCCTTAAATGAGAAGTGAAGGATTTGTCCTCATGCAGAGGACACAACACTCATGGTCTGTCTGCTTAGTTTTAGGGGAGTTATCTCACCTGTGTGTGAGATGGTGGCTCCTGGTTTCAGGAAATGGGAACTGCTGTTTTCATGCCTCTGACACTGCTGCCAGCCTTGATAGATGGCTCAAAACGTGGCAGTGCTGACCTTGGTCAGCCAAGGCAGACCCCAAGGCTACCCAGGTAGCCCTCTACACAAATTAATACATATATTACATAAATTAACATCTTCCAAAGCTATGAAAGGTGTCCAATGAGGACTTGGGCTAACTGGGGAAGTGGGTTTGAGTCTATAGGTGTGTAGTGTGACACACTTTTCAAAAATTTCAAGCATCCAGCAGTACCTCCTAACTTCACTGGAATAGTGGGGTGATCACCTTGGCTTTGAGAACTGTATCATTTACAGGTTATGCATTGCTTGTACAGAGATCCCTGTGGCAGGGCAGAACACATTTACTGCTAAGATGTGAGCAGATTTCTCAGGTGATGGAAATACCACTTCATATAGTATTTTGACAGTGTTTCAAGCAGTTCTTAGAATCTTCACCATGAGTTTGACTTGGAATATAACCATATTATGTCCTCAAATGCCATGATTTCATCAGTCCAAGAGATAATACAACATTTGCTGTTGGTTTATTAAAATGTTCCCTAGTGAATTAAAGAATGGGAGCTGGTTTTTGCCTTGGAAAAGGGAATAAGAGCATCACTGTAGATCTTTGGATATTAGGGGCAAGAATACAAATGTAGTGTAAGAAATCAATTGTCTTTGAGAACTTATTCTAAATGGACTCAAGTGTTACCAGCTCTGCCTCAGGAACCACTTTTGGCTACTGCATTTGTTTCCTTTACCTGCTTCTGCAGAACTTGGTGATACCAAGTCACCACTTGGTGATACAATAACTCTAGGGTGCCAGGAAGCAGCCAGCTTAGTTGTGAAGATTTCTTTATCTGAAAACAGAAAATGAACAGGAGGGTAATTTCTAAATCTGAGGCTCTGGAATGGTGGAAGGAGCCAGGGTGCTTGCATGTACACATATGTACACACTTCCCTGTCTGTGGCACACACACAGGGAAAAAATTTATGCCTCCTTTCTGTGGCTGATCAGGAATTTGTATTGTCCCAGGTCTAGTCTCCAGGTACTTTCTTTCTGCAGCATTTACAAGGTACTCACTGCTTTCTTAACATGCAGTGTGGCTAAAGGTTACTTTTTCTTTGGGGTCATTAAGTTTTAATCCCTAGACTGCTCTGTCTGTCTGTAGGAACAGGTGATAACTGCTCTCTATCCTTGGTGTTTAGGGCTACGTGGGATCTGATGTGATGTATGATGAGACAGCCATTTCCTCAGCCCCTCCTCCCTACACAGCTTATGCCACACCATCACCTGAGGTAAGAGCTGCAGTCAGGAAGCATTAACATGAGTGAGGCATCAGGAGCAGCCTCCTTCAAGCACTCACAAAGTGCTCTGCATTGTACTCTTACACCCAGCGTTAAAGCTTTTACAACAGCAAAGACACTATCAGTCTATTGCTGCTCTTATTTGAGATGGATTTCTTTTGAAAAGGATGAGGCACATTTGGTTGGGAGGTGTATAAAGGGGTGGCTGCTCAGAACTTGAAAAATAAAGCTTCTGAGAGACAGAATTTATTTGGCTGATCTTCAAATATATTGGTTGTGCAGCTTCTAGCATAAGGAGGTGTAACTACACTTTGATGTTGTGCAAGCACTGGAAAGGTGTAAGATCAGGAGTTTTAGAAATAGGGTGTACTGACAGGAATTGCCACTTTTAACATGTAAGGATTTTGTACCAAGATGTCACAGCAACACAATAACTCCAGTTCCTGGATACACAGTTCTTTTGCAGTGAAGGAGTAGCTTTGGCACCAACCAGGATATGTTGGGGAATTCTGGATGTGCTTAGTGATGTGCAGAAACATGTGAGGGGATAGTTTGGAGCACTATTGCTTGTTGCACTATGTGCTTCAGCCTCTCATTCTTGTTAAGAACGAGTTGTGGTGGAAGCTTCCTCTGTGCAGCCTTCTCTTTTGGAGAAAAAAATGAAATGCAATGAGAAAAAAATGAAAAAAAAGAAGAGAAAAATGTATGCTTCTAAAGCATACAGCTCTAGAGTGTTTGTCTTTAATCTGACATTTGCTTGCAGCATACCCTCTTGGAGGGCTGGATTTTTTTTGGGATTGGCTGCTGCCTTCCTGGCACTTCTGAGCTCCCCAGAGAGCTGCTGTTGGCATGAGGGCAGAGAGGAGAAGCTGGCAGGGCTGCTGTGCCTCTGCCTGATGATCCAGGCCCTGCCTCTGCTGTTGTCCAGGGAAGGAAGACAGCAAATGCTGCTTAGGAGTGCCTTTTTTTTCAAGCAGCTGTTCTGAATTCATTCCAGGGAGTAGGTTGGCTATAGCAGGACAGCCTGGATACTTTAGTGAAATTTTAATTACATTAGACACGAAGGCAGATTGAACAGTGTGCTTGACTGGATCCCTAGCAGAGTGTACTGTGTAACAGCCCTTTTTAATCTCCCCAGGTTTATGGCTATGGCTATGATCAGTACAATGGTGCATACCCCCCCGTGGGCCCTCAGATCATCTATGCCTCCAATGGACAAGCTTATGCTCTGCCCTATCAGTACCCATACCAAGGTAATCAGCCACATCCTCCACCTTCCCAAAGAAGCTGTTTGAGACAATCTTCCTGGCTTTAGCTCTGTTAATCACCATCCTTTACCAGCCACCAGTCCTGCACGCAGAGAAAGAAACCTGACCTGGAACTGGAAGCCAGTCCAGTCACCCTTTCACAACAAGGGACTGCAGGGAAATTGCTTTTAAGGGATTTAGCCTTCCCAATGTGATCTCAGCATAGTTACATTGCTTTATAAACTCCTTTTGAAGCATACAGAACTCTTAACTACAGCATGTTTCCTAATGAAAGGTGTAAGAGCCAGAAGAAGATGTAATTTTGTGATTCAGTACTCCATATTGGGTATTGATGGAGATTTTCATTCATCTGCTGTTTTTAAATCTAGTTTAATTATTTAAACACAAGTTTCAAAGGTAAATTCACTCCCTGAGTAAGGTTGTAGCTGGTTCCTTCCCCATGTGCTGGAACTGCTGTAAGGCATGATTTCAGCCAAATTAAATCTTCTGTTGCTCTTCTCAGGTGTGTATAGCTTTAAATCTCAAAAACGGGAAGCAAAGAGTAAAATTGTAGGGTGTGCTTTTAATCAGTCACCTTAATTTAGGGTTAGTTTTGCACAGAGCCCCAGTCCTACAGAAATGGGGCTTTAGAGTTGTATGGTACTAAAAATGAGAAAACTAATTGTTTATGATCTGACTGCAAACAAGAATCTCTACTGAGAATATTTTATTTATTACATCTTTTGAAGGAGTTTTTGTTTTCCATTTGGCATTTTTCAGGTTATTTCACTTGCCTTTTCCATTTTTTTATATAAGGGAGGTGCATCAGCCTTTAAAGCTTTTAAAGTTTTCTTCATGTAAGTTACTGAAATCCTAAGATACAGAAGATACATATTCAAACGCAGAGGAATGTGTGTCCTGTTGGCTCTCAAAAGCAGTAGCTTTTTAAAAACCCAAGAAATGTTTTTGAAAACTTCCAGCAGGCCAAACCCAAATGATAACAATGCAGCATCAAACTCCCCTGAGCAGTTTGCAAGTGCAGTGTGTTAAGGTACTCGTTACTGGTTGGGCATAGTAACCAAGGCTCAGTGTTTTCCTTCATCAGAGCCACTGGAACTAAAGCTTAGGGTTCAGATTCACCACAGCACCTCACTTAACCCTGTACCTTCAGCTCTGCACTCCTTCTCTGCAGTGACATAGTCCTTCTCAGGGGGGAGAGTCATGCATTGCTGAGAGTCAGTGAAAACCTTTCCTAGTTGGATTACTTAAGAATCTGTTACAAAACATTGTGAGATTTTCAAGGACATTTAATCTCCCTGAAATGTGTGGAAGGGAAACCAGTACTGTTATGTTTGCTTTGCAGCTAGGAGCTGACTCAGAAAACATGACAGGTGAAGCTGTTACAAGTCTGTTACAGAGCAGGGGTCAGCTGGTGGCTCCTTGAGTCCAAGTTAATTTCTTACTAGTGGCCAATCTTCGTCTGAACAGAAATGTAGCAGCTGTCACCACCCCACAGATCAGTCGAAGATGTGAAGGCTGAATTGCAGTAGGCAGTAAATGTAAATAACTGATGCACAGTTTCAGACAAATGACTGGCTTGAGACCTGTCAAATATTTTTTCAGGGGGAGGGTGTAAGGGGGAGAACTAAACTATTTGCCTTAACTTCAAGGCTGAATCAATTTTTAGAATTATTTCTTACATTAAATCCACAAAGTGAATACAAGTAATTCATAAGGTCTTTGCAGAACAATGTTCACTTTTACATTTGTGATGACTTTTCCTCACAGATATTAAGCTGTTACAGGGCTAGAAGTGTTGCTTGGATTTAATTAATGTGGAGGCTGACTCCAAAGCAGAAATGTATCCTACCTGTGCAGCTGACAAAATATTAGTATTCATTTGAAGGAAGAAGGTGAAAGAACAGGTGCTTTGAAATTGCAGTTTATGGAATTAAGATGCACATTTCTTTTGCCCTTCTCCCAACAACCTCTTATTTCCTAGGACCTTATGGGCAGCCCCCTGCAAACCATGTCATCATCCGAGAGCGCTACCGTGACAGCGATGGAGATCTTGCACTGGGCATGCTGGCTGGAGCAGCAACTGGGATGGCTCTGGGATCACTCTTTTGGGTCTTCTAGATTCCCCTTTCCTTATCTCTGTAGTTCCAAACCCCTTTATTGTGTGCAATAATATATTGGCAATGTTGTTTACTGTTAAACTTTGAAAAATGCAATAGTTATTTTTCAGTAGTGACATCTTAATAACTGATTCTTAACTGTCTTAATGAGAGTTTAAAGGCACCATTTAGTTAAGTGGTTGGAAATGGCATGTGCTGCTCTTGAATTCTGGTCTGATGTTCAGAATTATAAGGATCAATATGAGCACCAGTGTCATGTGGTAGCAGTCACCTGCTTTATGAACAGACTGCTATTGTAAACACCATAGGAAAAAAAGATTTTTTTGGGGGAGAGGGGTCTAAGATCTAGCTCAAATAAGAGATTGACAGGAGTCCTGCATTAGTATACACATACTACTGGCTTTTAAACATTCCCTGGAAAAAAAATAGAGCTCAGCAAAGATTCTTTGGCATTAGACAGTCTGCCATGCCTGAGGGGTTTTTTTTTTGTTTTCAGACTTGCCTGCAGACGGTAGTGTGTTTTCTTAGGTGCAGCCCTGTACCTGCCTCTCACACCATCTAGGTGAAGTTGTTTCTGAGAATGTATGAGCAAACCACTGAGAAGCAGCAGCACTCCTCAATTCTTTTATTGTCCCAGAAATGTGAATGACCAGTGGCAAGGAGGAGCAGTGTTTGTTGTTCTAGCTCCCTCTTTATCCTGGATGACTCTTCTCTGGTCAGATGGAAGTACTGGATCTTTAGCTTTGCAGGTGTCTGCAGAACAGCAGCCTCAGACACTGCAGCAGCTGCAGTGTTAGGAGCCAGCCATTGTCTCTGCTCCTTACTGCCAGGGCTCTGCAGAGGCTGCAGGAGGAGAAGGAACTTGAACAGCCCTTGCTCTGTTGGGCCTGCCAGCCCCTCTGCAGGCAGGAACAGGAGGGGAGAGACAAGCAAAACAAGTAGAGCTTGCACACAGGCACTTTGATATCAGCTGCCTTGCCAGGGCTAGGATAAGATGCCTGCTTCTTAGCCACCAAGGTTTGCTGAACCAGGTTCTTAATTTGCAACTAATTTTGAGCACAGCTGAGCCTGGGTTTGTTGTATGTACATTTCCCCCTCACATTCAGCAGGTCTCCTCTTCCCTCCATAAACACTCCAAGGAACCTGTCTGGCTTTGCTTGTATGTGTGGTTTCTCTACACAGCGTGCTGTCCCCTGGAGTGCAGCTGTTTTGTGTGTTACATGGCCTGTTTTAATCCATGCTGAGCTGTGCTTGGCAAGGAAAGAGAGCTCTGAAGAAATGCATGGGCTTTCTTGTTCAGGTAAATGAGGCAGGGTGCCTAAGCTGAGCTCTTATAGTAAGAGGACTTATTTTTATACTTCCACTTTTAGCTTCCTGTATTCGCATACTGTTTCAATGTTATGTCTTACTTATGCTTCCATTTAGGAGAAGGTTAATTTCCTTATGGTTCACAGGGTTTCATGTCAGGAAAATGAAAATAGATGAGAACTTGCACCCATATAAATTTAGCTGAAGTCCCAATCTTCTCTATTTCATCCTAAAATTCTCTTTGCTCTGTCCTACTTATTGAAGCAATAGAGGTCCTGGACAAGAGTTTGGGTAGCAGCCAGGGGAAGCACTAGGCTTTCATAAGCCTTAGCACTAACTCAACCAAGTGGAATCTCTGAAAGTAAACAGACAAATATCATTGTGGCTGCTTTATAGGAGTGGCCTAATCCAGGAAGGTAAACTGCCTTCAGGAGGCTGGCTCTGAGCTGTACACCAGTGTGCAAGCATGTCCTTTCACAGGTTAACACAAGCTGCACGTGTTCAGCCAGGCAAATGTACTGAAAGGACATTCTGGAAGTGCAAAAAAGGACTGAAGTGAAAGTTTCCTATTGCTAGTCCAAACCAAAGGAAATTGCAGTACACTACTGAAGCTCTCTTAGAGACCCCGAGGTCAGAAAGGGATGGAATGTAAGTGGACAAACATGTCTGCCCTTTTAAAAAGCCTTTTAAGAGGTGAGTTTGATTACAGGTCTGTGCTGCTGTTTGGTTTGTTCTGCACAATGCCTCCATCTCCTCCTAATCCTCTGTGATTCTTAACTTGTAAGGAGTGGGGGAGAATAAAACCACTGGGCATCATATGATTTTCTGAATTTCCTAATGACTGGGAAAGGATAACAAAAAGTGAATCAGCTGGGTTTTTTGTTTTGGTTTGGGCTTTTTTTCAGAAGAACTGTTAGTCACAGCAGGGGAACATGTCTTTTGTGTTTTCAGGAGATAACTCTGTCTAGGTCCCTAGTTTCTTCAAGTGAAGTATATAAAATAAAGATTGTTGATTCCAAAACATTCCTGGGTTGAAATTAAAAAAAAAGTATTTTAAAAAGTTCAAATTGTAAGTAATTCTCCATTAAGAAAATAACCTTACACTTCTCAGTGGAAAAATACACTGCAAATAGAAGCCAAAGATTGTAGTTTCAGCTTGGAAACAGTAGGCTGCTTTTATACAACAGTCATGAACTATTTTCTATCTCAGAAGCACAGGCATTTAGAACCCAGAAAGCAAGTGTACAAGCTTGTGCTAGAGCCTGAAATCAAGAGCACAGTTCTCTCCCTGCAGGTGCTTGTAGCCTTTCTGATCTCACTGCAGAGACAGAAGTGGCAACATCCTGGTGCACAAAGCAGCAGCATGGATTGCCATCTGAAGTTCCTGGATGTTGAAGCTCAGACTTGCTTCCTGAAGACAGGCCCGTGTCTCCTGTTGCTCAGGAACAGAGCAGAGCTTTGGTCAGGTGCACAGGAATGTCTGGCTGGATGCACAGTCGTGACTCAGTAGCAATTTTCTGCACTTCATGTATCTGCAGTTGGTGTGGGTGATGCTGTGGGATGAAGGAGATGGGATCTGGGGCTTGGAGGGACAGCCATGCTAGGTTCTGCAGACCACTGACACCACAGTCATGGGAAGAGGCTGCAGGGGTGGCAAGATAATTTTCAAAGCAGGTTGAAATGATTGTTTCTGAATGGTGCTATTCATTACTCTAATTCCATTTATATTTGCATAGTGCACATTCCTGCTTTGGGCCCAATACTGAAGCCCCCTAAAGCTATGGGAGGTTCACAGGTACCACAGTGGCACTGTTTTTGTGCAGTGTACACTGTCAGGCAAGGATAAATCTGTTGTACAGCAGTGCCAGCCTGTTCAGAATTGAGGAGGTCACGAGTCCAGATGTTCATCTGGGACTTGTTACTTTTGGGCTTGCAGTTATGGACAGCTGGACAGAGCCAGGCTTCCTGAGAGTGGGGTGGGAATGCTCAGCTCTCTAAGTCTGACCACATTAAAGAGGTCAATCAGGGTTATTCTGAGTTACATGTGAAAACATAACCGTTGGCTCCTTTTGCATGAATTTGAGGGAGAGCCAGTCTCTTCCAGTGAGTGGGTAAAGGCTTATGGACTAGGGAGGAGGGGGTGGGCAGAGTTTCTGTACAGAACAACTGCACTGACTTCCAGCAAAGATACACCTCCCCAGTGCTGAAGCACATTCTGAGCAGTGTCCAGATGGAGCTAGCCTGCATGTCATCCAACCCTGGCTTACTCTGTTCTTCAGTGAAGATTCAGCAGGTGATGGAACCAGCTACACAAGTGGACTGGAGGAGAAAATTCACACCCATGTTCCTCAGATGTGTTTGTGCTTCTCCTCCTCAGCATAAGTCTGTGCAAGTCATGGACGGTAGCATGCAACAAGTTTCCCCTCCAGAACCTTTATGTTCTTGTGCACTCCCTGTCTTTACTGCAGCTTTTACTGTATGTCCTCATTCTCATTGTTAATTTATAGCAAAATAAGCATAGCAATAAAAGTCATATTTAGTGTAATTATTTTGTCTTGACATGTTTACTAGCCTTTATTCAACACTTCTCATTTAGCTGGAGTGCAGACACCTCAGGCTGACATACCTTGGGCATCTCAGTTACCATTTAATAAGCGTGATGTAAGGTCTGTGAAATCAGCAAAGTAACTCCACACTAACACCACTATACCAAGATTAGAATTAAGACATATTTCTTTCTAATGGAGTTGAAGGCTTTGACTCAGAAGTGTTTAATCTTGGATATATGCAACACTGATCCAGATTTACCATTTGACATTGTGTTATCAACAGATTTGTACTGTTTAGTGTTAGACTAAGCTGCTTGGAACACAGATGTTGCTCTGGGCAAAATGCTACTGGTTGTTGTATTGGTATTTCCTGTTTATGAATTGCTTCAGAGCAGTTGGGTACAATCAATAAGTTTGCTTTGACGAAGGCACTAAATGACCACAGCCCTGCCTCTTAAAGGCAGACAATCTTGTATGTTTGCAGGGAATTAAACTTCTAGTCCAAAGGACCACAGTGCATTTTGTAAAACAGTATCCCTGCTCTGTGCACATTTTGTTTTTACTGCTGGGAGGTGGGGTGGGGCGGGTTTTTAGCCTCTCAACTGGGGAAGAAATGAAAACAAAACTGCTATTTCAACCCACCAGCTAATGTCAGAGTATGCAGTGCTTTTCTCCACAGCACACTTTGTTGACTGTGCCTGTTTTGTCAGTCAGCAGTTCCATATGATGGATTTGCTAGCACATATGTATACCTAACCCTACCCATCCCAACCACTTGTACTGAAATTCTCTGCACCACAACAAGTTAGGGAACTAGATTGCTGTGCAAGGCTTAGCAGCTCCACACCTTCCTGAGCTTCCAACAGCTTCGAGAATGGGCTTTGCCTCTGCTCCTGCATTCTCTCTCCTCTTTGTGGTTGCAAAATGCCACTGCCATAATTAACTTGGGTTGTATTCCTAAAAGCACCTGCATTTGTCCCTCTCTCCTGTTGCAGTTCTACTGCACTGCATTGCAGTGAACTCAGTGTTCCCTGAATTTCAGTGGAGCTGAGAGTGTCCCTCTCACCCCGTATGCCATGAGCAGTCACTAACCACAAAGCAGAGCTGGTCCCAGCTGGCTGGCACAGGCCCAGCTGCTTTGAAGCCTCCCATGTGCCACAGAGCATCTCACTGGGTTTCAGAGTTTTTGATGCATCTCTAAAAGGCTCCAGGACTCACGGAGCACATAAAAGCTCCAGTGTATCTGCATTAATAATTTCAAGTTTAAGAGCCATGTGATGATTTTTAAGGTGCAGGTTGGGAAAGTTTCAGACCAACAATGCTGAGCTTAACCTGACTGGCCATGGTGGATGCAATACTGATTCTACCCAATCCTCCATGTACTTTATGTACCAAGATTAGCCATGCTTTTTGCAAAGTATGACAGCTAAAGTCAAAAAGAGTGACCCCTGATAAGCCCCCTGGGCTTTCTAGGGCCAGGTGCATGGGGGCTGAGGTGAGCTTACCCCAAGCAGCAGCTGCATCTCCTGCCATCCATCAGCTGTGCCCCTGGAGGCCACAGCCACCTCCCAGGTTTGGAGACCAGCAGAAAGTCCTGTACCTAACTGAGTTTACCCTTCCTGAGCTCATGGATGACACCAAGCTGGTTGGGACTGTTGATCTGCTGGAGGGCAGGAAGGCTCTGCAGAGGGATCTGGACAGGTTAGATCCATCAACTGAGACCAGCTGTATGAGGTTCAATAAGGTGAAGTGCCAAGTTCTGCTCTTACCCCTGCAGCACTACAGGCCGGGGACAGTGGCTGGAAAGTGGCCCAGAGGAAAAGGCCCTGGGGCTGCTGTCAATGGTGGCTGAACCTGAGCCCAGGTGGCCGAGAAGGCCAAAGGCACCTGGCCTGTGTCAGCAATGGTGTGGCCAGCAGGACCAGGGCACAATTGTTCCCCTGTGCCCAGAAGTGGTGAGGCCACACCTTGTGTGCTGTGTCCCATTTTGGGCCCCTCAATTCAAGAAGGTCACTGAAGTGCTGGAACCAGTCTAGAGAGGGGAATGGGGCTGGGGAAGGGGCTGGAGCACGAGTCCCATGAGGAGCGGCTGAGGGAGCTGGGGGTGTTTAGCCTGGAGAAAAGGACACTCAGGGGGACCTTATGGCTCTGCACAACTCCCTGACCAGGAGGCTGTAGCCAGGAGGGGATCACCCTGCTCTCAGGGAGCAAGGGACAGGATGAGAGGACATCGCCTTGAGCTGTGCTGGAGGTTCAGATTGGACATTATGAGGAATTTCTTTCCAGAAATGGCGATTGGAACGGGCTTTGCGGCGGAGAGCTGTCCCCGGGGCTGTGTGGGGACAGCCTCCCGGGCGGCTCCGGCAGCCGCGCTCCCCTCACGCCGCTCCGCCCGCAGATGGCGCCGCGGCCCCGGCGATGGCGGCTGGGCCCGGCCCTGCTCCTGAGGCTCCTCAGCGGGAACGGGCACGGGCAGCACAAGCCGCGGGGCTGCGCAGTCTTTCCAAGCCGCCTGCTGATCAAAAGCAGTTTTTCATGGGAATGCTCAGGCACACGAGTGTAATGAAAGTCATTTCCATGCCAGATTTCCCTGCTCAAATCCCTAGCTGCTTCAGCTGAAGAGCTGTTTGTGATAAAGTGACGGCGTTTTTCTCGTGCTGGAGGTAAAGGGGTATTTGGGCTGTCCTGCCTGTCCTGCCAGGCCAGCAGATGACAGGTCCGAGTTTTGGGCAGTCCCCAGGCTCGGAGCCCCCCAGAACAGCCCCCCAAAAAACTGGAGCAGCCCCCAAAAAACCAGGAGCACACCCCAAAAAACAGGAGCAGTCCCCAAACAGCAGCACCTCCCAAACAAACAGGAGCAGTCCCCAAACAGGAGCACCCCCCAAACAAACAGGAGTACCCCCCAAAAAACTGGAACAGCCCCCAAAAAACAGAAGCAGCCCCAAACAAACAGGAACAGCCCCCAAACAGGACCAGCCCCCCAAAAAACTGGAGCAGCCCCCAAACAACCGGGAGCAGCCCCCCAAAAAAAGGAACAGCCCCCAAACAAACAGGAGCAGTCCCCAAACAGGAGCATCCCCAAAAAAACTGGAGCAGCCCCCAAACAAACAGAAGCAGCCCCCAAACAAACAGGAGCACCCGCCAAAGAAACAGGAGCAGTCCCCAAACAGGAGCAGCCCCCTAAAAAACTGGAGCAGCCCCAAACAAACAGGAGCAGCCCCCAAACAGGAGCAGCTCCCCAGAAAACAGAAGCAGCCCCCCAGAAAACAGGAGCAGCCCCCAAACAAACAGGAGCAGCCCCGCAGCACTGGGCAGATGCTGGCAGGCCCTGAGCAGCCTGGCAGGGGCAGCTGGCAGAGAGCAGGAGGTAAAGGAAAGTTGGTGATTGATGATCAGGGATCTGGTTTGTCCCTGCCTGTATTTAACACAGGATAATGGGCTAGGAGCCCTGGCCTGAGATTAGGATGCTCTGGGTCAGTTTTCCCAGCTCTGTCACAGGCAGTTTGTGTGGTGTTGGGAAGAGCCACTTTACATTGTCACATCTTACTTTTCACTTCCCCAAAAGAGAGACAGCAATGCAAAAGGAACAGACAAGTTCATGAAAAGCTGTAAGCTGTTCCACTCTGTGCATGCACTGAGGACACAGTGATATCAGCCTGGGCTGACATTTTCAGAGGCCTTTGATATGATCATAAAGAACAACAATTAACAGTGTTTAAATTAGAAACAACCTAGGATGCAGAGGGCAAGGGCTGGCAATTCAAGAACAGCACCATGTTTCTTTACACACAGAATATATGACGTGAGGGCTGGAAAAGATTTTAACACATCGTGATCTAAAGCAGGCTCAGCTCCATCACCTTGCAGCACATGCAGGAAACACAGAAGCCCAAGCCCCAGGATGGTCCATGGTGCACAACCTCCCCCTGATGCAGGCAGACAGGGCCAGCAAGACTGAGCATTATTCCAAAGCAGGGAAGGAAAAGTAAAGAAACAGAGTTGTCCTTAGACAGATATTTTTAAAAGGAAATGCTAAATTTCAATCCATGTTTCAAGCTCACTTTATCTATCCAGACAGGAAGGATCAATTTAGAAAGTGCCTCCCTTCAATTCACAGCAGCATAAGCAGCATCAGCATTTCACTTATGTTGCCATCTTTCAAACCTCTGCCGAGCACAGCAGATGGAGATGCAACTGTGTCATTCACATCAGACCATGCGTGACTCTGAGTACATTATTTGATTGTCTGGAACTTGAGTCTTGCAGTACTTTATGTGCTTTTGCAATGACTGGCTGACAAAGAAGGGGAAAAGGGAGACACAGTTGTTATTTAACTACCCTGAAAAATACTGAGGTCGCCATTTCACTACCAGAAATTTCTCCTGATGTGCAAGTTCAGTATAATGCCATGGGATGGCATGTGGCTTGTACTGAACCTGCATGTGCAGGCTGATAATGAGAGGCCTGAAGAAAACACATCTGGGAGAAAATCCCTCCCACCAGCATAGGACAGTTTGCCTGGATCTCTAGAACAAATCCTAGTCCTGATTTCTCAATCAGCTGCTCAGCATCACAAACCACTTGCAATTTCTGTGTGCCTTGGTTTGAAAATGTGACTTAGCCATCTCCCAGTCCCAATAAAGTTCCTGTTCCCAGGAACATGATGAGCATATGGCCTTTCCAGACTGGTTCTGGCCCTTTTTACATCTTCCTCATTAAATCTAGGCAATGCTTTCAGTCTCAGATTTGGATGGCTGAAAAATAATCAGGAAAAGAACCCTGGCTTCCTATACTCCTCTATAACTTTTCTGAAAGGTGTTCAATCACCCCAGCATAATTTTTCCCCCCAAAACTTTCTTGAAAGATTATTCCCAAAGTTCACACCATAGCATCCTGCTGAGTTAAAGCAAAATTGTACATGTACAGACCAGAAGAATCCTCTTGAGTCAATCAATAGCTATATTTCTGACTGTTCTAAAACCAATTGTTTCAGATG